GAGGTCGGGAGACCTTGACGGCCAGTCCATGACGTTGACTCCCGCATTCGGAAGGAAATTCCTTGTCAAAATTGCTGTATGGGGTCTGGCTTTGTTGTGTTGGAAGATCAAACCGGGTGCATGTGCTGCAAAACAGACAGAAGTTCTGGTGCCAGTACCTGGTCGCGGTAAGCAGCAGCGTTGAGGTTGCCACGGATGACAAGAAGCCTGGAACGTGCATTGCCACAGAAAGCACCCCACACCATGACACTTCCGCCTCGAAATCTGTCAACTTCCTGTGCACAACACTGGGCGTAACGTTCATGACGGCGCCTCCACACCCTCGTTCTACCATCAGCAAATCGAAGATTAAATCGGGATTCATCACTGAAGACGATATGATTCCTATTCCTCTGAGTCCATCGTAAGTGTCGCTGTGCCCACAATTGACGTTGACGTCTGTGTAATTGAGTCAGAATCAGCCCGCTGTATGACCGTCGTGCTTGAAGGTGAACAGTTCTCAGACGGTTTCGAACAGTTTGCGCACTCAGTCTACCCCTAAACAGTTCATTTCTGGTTGATGTAGCCGTCAAAAATCGGTTACGGAGGTGATGTAAGACAATCTGACGATCCTCTGCATGTGACGTCACACGTGGTCGGCCTGGCCGAGGGTGATCAGCGATGGTACCCGTTTGCTGTAGACGCGTCTGTAAATCATAAGCAGTCCGTCGACTACAACCCATCGTCCTTGCGTCTTCAGCTACGGACGTTCTCGTCTGCAACATGCCGATGGCACGTTCACGTTTCACATTTGAAAGGCGTGGAATGACAAATGGCCGTAAAGACTTTTGTTTTCTTGTGTTTTTCTTTTTTTATTAATGACTGCTAACAAGTATGACTGAAAATACGTGCGGTATTGTGGCCACGTGACCAGTTGCAGGTGAAAAACCACTTTTGTCACTATAGTGCTGTGCACATGATTTTGATCGATTCACCTGCAAAAAAATGGGTGTTATCTGAAGACAATACGTGGACATTGGAAATTTGGAATGTAATTGCCAAAATTGTATTGAGTGGCACTTCATTGTCAGGAAGACACCATTGAGACAAAAGAGTTTGAAGAGGACATTTCGAGGCATTGATTGCTGTGAATACATTCGGTGACACTTCACTGTCACGAAGACTCCTTGGATGCCGAAGAGTTTCATGACAACTCGACGCATTGATTACCAAGATTATATTGAGTGGCACTTCATTGTCACGAAGACACCCTTGAGACAGAAGAGTTTGAAGAGGATATTTCGACTCATTGATTGCTAAGAATACATTCAGTGACACTTCACTGCCATGAAGACACCGTGATTGCAAATGAGTTTCATGACAACTGGACTCATTGATTACACACATTATATTCAGTGGCACTTCACTGTCAGTAAGAGACCCTTGAGACACAAGAGTTTGAAGGGGATATTTCTATTCGTTCATTGTTGAGGATACGTTCAGTGACACTTCACTGTCACAAAGACATCCTGGAGGCAGAAGAGTTCCGTGACATCTCAAGGCATCGATTGCCAAAATTGTATTCCGTGGCACTTCATTGTCACGAAGACACACTTGAGACAGAAGAATTTGAAGAGGATATTTCTATTCATTCATTGTTGAGGATACGTTCAGTGACGGTTCACTTTCAGAAAGACACCCTGGAGGCAGAAGAGGTCCATAAGAACATTTTGAGGCATTGATTGCGATGAATACATTCAGTGACACTTCACTGTCACGAAAACACCTTGAATGCAGAAGAGTTTCATGACAACTCGAAGGCATTGATTACCAAGATTTTATTGAGTGTCACTTCATTGTCACGAAGACACCCTTGAGACAGAAGTTTGAGAATGATATTTCGAATCATTGATTGCACAGAATACATTCAGTGATACTTCACTGTCACGAAGACACCCTTGAGACAGAAGAGTTTGAAGAGGATATTTCTATTCATTCATTGCTGAGGATACGTTCAGTGACACTTCACTGTCACAAAGACACCCTGGAGGCAGAAGAATTCAATGAGAACATTTCGAGACATTGATTGTTATGAATACATTCAGTGGCACTTCATTGTCACGAAGACACCTTGGATTTAGAAGAATTCTCTGACATCTCGAGGCATTTATGGTGAAGATTAAATTGAATGGCATTTCATTGCCACGAAGACACATTTGAGACAGAAGAGTTTGAAGAGGATATTTCTATTCATTCATTGCTGAAGATACGTTCGGTGACACTTCACTGTCAGGAAAACACCCTTGAGGCAGAAGAATTCTATGAGGACGTTTCGAGGCATTGATTGCTGAGAATACATTCCTTGACACTTCATTGTCACGTAGACACCTTGGATGCAGAAGAATTCTCTGACATCTCGAGGCATTGATTGCAAGATTATACTGAGTGGCACTTCACTGTCACGAAGACACATTCGAGATAAAAGAGTTTGAAGAGGATATTTCGATTCATTCATTGCTATGAATACATTCAGTGACACTTCACTGTCACAAAGACACCTTGGATGTAGAAGAATTCTATGACATCTCGAGGCATTAATTGTCAAGATTACATTGAATGACACTTCATTGCCACGAAGATACCCTTGAGACAGAAGAGTTTGAAGAGGATATTTCTATGCATTCATTGCTGAGGATACGTTCAGTGACATTTCACTATCACAAAGACACCCTGGAGGAAGAAGAATTCCGTGGGGACATTTCGAGGCATTGATTGCTAAGAATACATTCAGTGACACTTCACTGTCACAAAGACACCTTGGATGCAGAAGATTTCTCTGACATCTCGAGGCAGGAATGGTCAAGATTACATTGAATGACACTTCATTGCCACGAAGATACCCTTGAGAGAGAAGAGTTTGAAGAAGATATTTCGATTCATTCATTGCTATGAATACATTCAGTGACACTTCACTGTCACGAAGTCACCTTGGATAAAGAAGAGTTCTATGACATCTCGAGGCATTGATTGCCAACTTTATATTGAATGGCACTTCATTGCCACGAAGACACCCTTGAGACAGAAGAGTTTGAAGAGGATATTTCCATTCATTCATTGCTGAGGATACGTTCAGTGACACTTCGCTGTCAGGAAAACACCCTGGAGGCAGAAGAATTCCATCAAGACATTTTGATTCATTGATTGCAAAGAATACATTCAGTGACACTTCACTGTCACGAAGACACCTTGGACGCAGAAGAGTTCCATGATATTTCCAGGCATTGATTGCCAAGAATGTATTGAGTGGCACTTCATTGTCACAAAGACACCCTTGAGACAGAAGAGTTTGAAGAGGATCTTTCGATGCATGTATTGCTAAAAATATATTCAGTAACACTTCACTGTCATAAAGACAACCTGGAGGCAGAAGAAATACCTGAGGACATTTCGATTCATTGATTGCTATGAATACATTCCTTCACACTTCACTGTCACGAAGACACATTGAATGCTGAAGAATTCTATGACATCTCGAGGCTTTGATAGCCAAGATAATATTGAGTGGCACTTCACTGTCACGAAGACACCCTTGAGAGAGAAGGGTTTGAAGAGGATATTTCGATTCATTGATTAAACACATTCAGTGACACTTCACTGTCACGAAGACACCTTGGATGCAGAAGAATTCTATGACATCTCGAGGCATTTATGGTGAAGATTATATTGAGTGGCACTTGATTGTCACGACGACACCCTTGAGACAGAAGAGTTTGAAGAGGATATTTCTATTCATTGATTGCTGAGGATACGTTCAGTGACACTTCACTGTCACAAAGACACCCTGGAGGCAGAAGAATTCCATGAGAACATTTCGAGACATTGATTGCTATGAAAACATTCAGTGACACTTCACTGTCACAAAGACACCTTGGATTTAGAAGAATTCTCTGACATCTCGAGGCATTTATGGTGAAGATTATATTGAATGGCATTTCATTGCCACGAAGACACATTTGAGACAGAAGAGTTTGAAGAGGATATTTCTATTCATTCATTGCTGAAGATACGTTCGGTGACACTTCGCTGTCAGGAAAACACCCTGGAGGCAGAAGAATTCCAACAAGACATTTTGATTCATTGATTGCAAAGAATACATTCAGTGACACTTCACTGTCACGAAGACACCTTGGATGCAGAAGAATTCTATGACATCTCGAGGCATGAATGGTCAAGATTATATTGAGTGGCACTTCATTGTTATGAAGACACCCTTGAGACAGAAGAGTTTGAAGACGATAGTTCGATTTTTTCATTGTTATGAATACATTCAGTGACACTTCACTGTCACGAAGTCACCTTGGATGTAGAAGAATTCTATGACATCTAGAGGCATTAATGTCCAAGATTATATTGAGTGGCACATCATTGTCACGAAGACACCCTTGAGACATGAGATTAAAGTGGATATTACGAGGCATGGATTGCTAAGAAAACATTCAGTTACACTTCACTCTCACGAAGACACCTTGAATGCAGAAGAGTTCCTTGACATCTCGACGCATTGATTACAAAGATTATATTGAGTGGCACTTCACTGTTACGAAGACACCCTTGAGACAGAAGAGTTTGAAGAGGATATTTCTATTTATTGATCGCTAAGGAAACGTTCCGTGGTACTTCATTTTCAGGAAGACACCCTGGAGGTAGAAGAATTCCATGAGGACATTTCGAGGCATTGATTACTATGAATGCATTCAGTGACACTTAAAAATCACAAAGTCGTCATTGAGGGAGAAAAGTTCTAAAAGGAAATTTCGAGGTATTGATTGCCAAGCATACATTCCTTGACCTTTTTTCTGTCACGATGACACCCTTTAGTCACAAGAGTTCAAAGAGGACATCTCGAGACATTGATTGCTGAGAATATTTTAAGTGGCACTTTACTGTCACGTTATGGTAGCTTGTGGAATAACACTTTCTGTTTTGAAGTTGTCTTCTTTCCAAACGGGAAATGATGTCATTTAACTGGAAGTGCCAAAAACTTTCTTAGTAATGTTGGTGCAGAACTGTTTTTAGGTTGTGATGCATTGAGCTTATGTTATGGTTGGCCTTTACTACAATTAAGTCAGTTTGTCTGTTTTCCCATTACAGAGGTGAAGTTATCAAACCAAGAGTGCTTGAGGCACAGGACTAATTTCTACTGCATTTGGCAACATGAGGTATCCGTGATGAATCTAAAACATGTATTGATGAGATCATCTGTCACTTGAGTAGATGGACGTTAAAATGGGTCATGATACACGTATGTTGTGGTAAAGTTTTCGCTATTCAAGAAATATTATGTAGGGACTAGTTCTGTGTTGCATGTAATTTAATATATTTATTCATATATGTTTTACATGTTTGTCCTTGCATCTGTAGGTAGTTGTAGAATAGCATTACTGTTGTAAATATGTAAGCTTAGTGCCATAAGGTAGAAATGGATCCCATACACCTGGGAATATTGTAACAATTTAAACCTTTAAAATTATGGTCGCGGTTGTTTAAACAAATCCATGGCGAGATGAAGTATGAAATGCATTGCTTCGATGCTGTCAGTTCCATTCAAATTGATTAGCAGAGTCAGATAGCATTAATTATGAGAAACAATACGCGCTGATGGCTGAAAATCAATGTTACGACAAAACTAATTCTACATGTCACCAATTTGTAAGTGCTTACTTGTAACGTTGTCTTTCTTTTTCATTCAGTATGAATCACTTGATCCACCAAGACTTGAACGAGCTGTGGAGGACAAGTAGTTGGTACCTGACAAAGGCCACTGTGATGGGCATTACTTGCACCGGGTACCACCTGGAAAACTCGCAGTTGTGCCCCGAATGATTGTGCACCGTCCTCTAATCACTCGAACGTGATGCCACACTTACAACTACTGTGGGACTAGGTGGTTTCAATATCATACTTGTGAAGCTGACTTTCATGAACTATAGTCTCACGCCATTTTTCTGTATCAAACCATGTATAATAAAATTATGAAAAATCCACCATTTGGTTTTCATTGTAGCTAATCGGGCATTTGAAGCCATGAGAGTATGAAATGATTTGTTGAAAATCTTGATATGATTCCCTAGTCTATCAGGCCAAATGATTTTCTCTTACTGCAAAATATATTGATTGACTACAGAGCCTAATGTTTCAACACCAACGTGTTGTTTACTACAAAAATGACTGCTGAGCGATATTTTGAAGTACATAATACAAAGTGGTAAATAATAAATGTCTGGCAGAAATTTCTGGAGGTATAAAAAAAATTCTTCCAGAAATTTCTGCAGTACAAAACAAATCAGTCAGAATTTTCTTCAGAAATGCATTTGAGCTCATTTGAGGAACATAAACTTTCCAATGTTCCTGTGTGTTCCAGTAGGCTCGATCCCTTTATGGTCATGTTCGGACTGCTGACCATTCCAAAGTTGTATCGCCTCTCCTTCATGTAAGTTATATCCCAGTGTGTTACATGTAGGTTCATGCGGAGGAAACGTCTGAAGCGGTACAGAACGTAGGAGAACCCAAATGTCAGTAAAATGATAAAATATAAAACCTAGCAAATTCGAAAATTAGGCTGAAAAAAATACAGTGCTCTCGCTGTCAGTTGACAATGCATTTGTTTAAAAACAACTCTCGCAATGCAATTTAATTTTGATTTTCTAACAAAAATGATCACACATATCTTCACACCACGATTAATTTGTAACCAGGGTGAAATATTCACGTGAAACGTGTGACGCACCGCCTGAGAAGGGATGTATCAGGGTGTTTCTGTTCAAATAATGTTTTCTCATCAACTGACCTGACATAAATGATCAAACGTGCTCCATTCATTCAATATTTGGCAAGAAATGGCATATGTTCTCTTCTATGGAAACTCATTGAAACACAAAGAAAGTAGTTCCTGCAGCTTCGTTTTTTTGAAAATGTTTCCACTGACGCGTACAGCAAAACTCAGCGTTCTAAATGAGCGAACACCACAACATGGACAGATCAGAATATTTTAGCGAAGTGACTTATGCTTTTAAGGACAAAAGACGCATCAACAGCCACTGTTTTCGACTATTTAACGTTACAAAAACATCAGTTGAAAAAAGAGGAAGTAAGAAATATAAGGAAACAAAAAGTGAAACATAAAAAGTAGCCAGTTCCTGGGACTACATATCACCAATTCTGAGTCACTCGGGTGAATGAGAGAGCTCAGCATTATTCCGGACGTAAAATGTTAAAATTGCAGAATAAAGTAGTTTAACTATTTGCTGCTTGTTGGTCAGTTCGGGAAACATGCGTCTACGGGTAATTGATGGGTGGTGACACCAGACACCATGGATCTGCCTATGCCTCTGCTTGCTACACAATAATATAAAATATAATTTCCCTCGCTAGCTTGTCAGTTTTTGCTGACTGTGTCGTTAAACAAAATTCAACATAATATACCACACATCACTTCACGTACAAAAGAATAATTGTGGATATCCTATCTTGTGTAAACGGGACAATTATAATAGCTTTTCGTCACAGGGATCACGTTTTACACATGATTCTTATTATTGACCATAAGAGAGAAATGTTCAGAGGAGATAATGCCGGAGTGCACGTTCCACTCTTGCCTATGAATACATTACATTACCACTTTCACATGGCTGTCCAAATCGCCAAACATTAAAGCCACAGAACATAAAGGGGCCCCATCTGTCGCACAGGCCCGGACAATAAGGAGTGACCCTTACCAAATAAATACAGGGTTCCACAAACGGTCTGGAACAAAGTGGTGATGTAGCCAAGCAGAAATCTGTGACGTCAACAATGGAGCCACGTCATTTTTTATTTCGTCCCCATAAGTGATGTCGTCATAGGCAAAATACGTCAACAATCAGCTGACGTGAGTGACAATCATTGTATGGGGTGCGAACGTGGCTGACGGACGTCTTGCTCTCTGGGTGTACTGCAAAAGCGGTTTTGGGTGCAACAGAGACGGGGATAGGCACAGGTAAGTCAGTGGCTTTATTCTTTGATGTGAAACCAGTTTGGATAAGTATTTAAAAACGAAATACACGTTATTGACTGGAATATGTATGTACAGTGCGGACGACTGTGGATTTGGTGATTGTATCCTGCTCTGTCTTGTTATTGAGTTTGAATTGAGAAAGCCGATGTTCAGGAGGTAACTGTTGATGGCAACATCGGCATTATGATAACGGGATTGTTACAAAACTTAAATGTGATTTTACATTTAAAATGATTGAATTACAAATGTGTAGACCTTTGTGTGAAAGCTGCAGAGTTAAGTGTCGGGCGCTGAACGCGAGTATTTGTGTAGTGACTGTTGATTGCCGTCACATATGACTTGAATGTTTGTTCCTGGATGACATTGTTTTGTTGAAAACCAAAACAGTTCCACTTGTTTAGTTGGCGGGGTTTGTCCAGATCGTGTGCATCAAAGTCGCAGTCAGTTGGAAAATTAAACTATTCTATTGTCCTCCACTATAACTATTATCATGGTGTGTGAAATACACAGTTTTTCATATTTCCTTTGCTTTGACAAGGAAATCAACAATTCGCAGAAGTAGGTATCAGATGTGATTTCGTTGGTGCTGTCAGAAAATATGTGTTTGAAGGAAGTTAGTTGGTCTATGCTTGTGACTTTTCGCTTCATCTACAAGGCAGTTGTCCCGATGTTTGAGAGTGTTTTTGGCAATATTTAGTTGGGAGTATGAGAGCCCTCTGCTAAGACGCCTCATTCAACTTATGATGCGCATATTTCCCCTAAAACGCCAGTGGTCTTACGGAGCTTAGCTTCCGTTGCTTGGAATTGATCTGCGTTGTTTACTGTAGTTGTCCCGTATTTTGTTTGCAATCTGTGCTATATCCATGATTGAGGACGTCATGATGGGTTGATAAAGGGGCCCCATCTGTCGCACAGGCCCGGACAATAAGGAGTGACCCTTACCAAATAAATACAGGGTTCCACAAACGGTCTGGAACAAAGTGGTGATGTAGCCAAGCAGAAATAAGTGACGTCAACAATGGAGCCACGTCATTATTTATTGTGTCCCCATAAGTGATGTCGTCATAGACAAAATACGTCAACAATCAGCTGACGTGATTGACAATCATTGTATGGGGTGCGAACGTGGCTGACGGACGTCTTGCTCTCTGGGTGTACTGCAAAAGCGGTTTTGGGTGCAACAGAGACGGGGATAGGCACAGGTAAGTCAGTGGCTTTATTCTTTGATGTGAAACCAGTTTGGATAAGTATTTAAAAACGAAATACGCATTATTGACTGGAATATGTATGTACAGTGCGGACGACTGTGGATTTGGTGATTGTATCCTGCTCTGTCTTGTTATTGAGTTTGAATTGAGAAAGCCGATGTTCAGGAGGTAACTGTTGATGGCAACGTCGGTATTACGATAACGGGATTGTTACAAAACTTAAATGTGATTTACATTTAAAATGATTGAATTACAAATGTGTAGACCTTTGTGTGAAAGCTGCAGAGTTAAGTGTCGGGCGCTGAACGCGAGTATTTGTGTAGTGACTGTTGATTGCCGTCACATATGACTTGAATGTTTGTTCCTGGACGACATTGTTTTGTTGAAAACCAAAACAGTTCCACTTGTTTAGTTGGCGGGGTTTGTCCAGATCGTGTGCATCAAAGTCGCAGTCAGTTGGAAAATTAAACTATTCTATTGTCCTCCACTATAACTATTATCATGGTGTGTGAAATACACAGTTTTTCATATTTCCTTTGCTTTGACAAGGAAATCAACAATTCGCAGAAGTAGGTATCAGGTGTGATTTCGTTGGTGCTGTCAGAAAATATGTGTTTGAAGGAAGTTAGTTGGTCTATGCTTGTGACTTTTCGCTTCATCTACAAGGCAGTTGTCCCGATGTTTGAGAGTGTTTTTGGCAATATTTAGTTGGGAGTATGAGAGCCCTCTGCTAAGACGCCTCATTCAACTTATGATGCGCATATTTCCCCTAAAACGCCAGTGGTCTTACGGAGCTTAGCTTCCGTTGCTTGGAATTGATCTGCGTTGTTTACTGTAGTTGTCCCGTATTTTGTTTGCAATCTGTGCTATATCCATGATTGAGGACGTCATGATGGGTTGATAAAGGGGCCCTATCTGTCGCACAGGCCCGGACAATAAGGAGTGACCCTTACCAAATAAATACAGGGTTCCACAAACGGTCTGGAACAAAGTGGTGATGTAGCCAAGCAGAAATCTGTGACGTCAACAATGGAGCCACGTCATTATTTATTGTGTCACCATAAGTGATGTCGTCATAGACAAAATACGTCAACAATCAGCTGACGTGATTGACAATCATTGTATGGGGTGCGAACGTGGCTGACGGACGTCTTGCTCTCTGGGTGTACTGCAAAAGCGGTTTTGGGTGCAACAGAGACGGGGATAGGCACAGGTAAGTCAGTGGCTTTATTCTTTGATGTGAAACCAGTTTGGATAAGTATTTAAAAACGAAATACGCATTATTGACTGGAATATGTATGTACAGTGCGGACGACTGTGGATTTGGTGATTGTATCCTGCTCTGTCTTGTTATTGAGTTTGAATTGAGAAAGCCGATGTTCAGGAGGTAACTGTTGATGGCAACGTCGGCATTACGATAACGGGATTGTTACAAAACTTAAATGTGATTTACATTTAAAATGATTGAATTACAAATGTGTAGACCTTTGTGTGAAAGCTGCAGAGTTAAGTGTCGGGCGCTGAACGCGAGTATTTGTGTAGTGACTGTTGATTGCCGTCACATATGACTTGAATGTTTGTTCCTGGACGACATTGTTTTGTTGAAAACCAAAACAGTTCCACTTGTTTAGTTGGCGGGGTTTGTCCAGATCGTGTGCATCAAAGTCGCAGTCAGTTGGAAAATTAAACTATTCTATTGTCCTCCACTATAACTATTATCATGGTGTGTGAAATACACAGTTTTTCATATTTCCTTTGCTTTGACAAGGAAATCAACAATTCG